TATTGTTTTATCTTAGGACACCTAATACCAAAACTGATTTTGAGCAGTGAACAGAGAAGCTTTTACTGATTCAGGTTCAGTTTCAATTCAATTCAGTTTATTTATATAGTGCCAAGTCACAACATAAGTCATCTCAGGACATTGAACAGAAACATTCATGCCAATTAGTAAAGTTATCTATATAAGGAAGGAAGGAAGCCAGCAGACTGCGTTGTTCATTTGCTTCTAAACTTGAACAGATAAACATCTCAGCTGTTTGAATCCACTGCAGCAGCTTTCTGTGAGCCTGCTCAAGGTTAACTCAAGTAATGTTTCAGTGCAAACCAACAGCACGTGCACAATATACATTATGCATTCATGTTCTTAACATGTTTTTGTGAACCCCAAGGCCTGATATTATTCAGAAGAATGGGTTGTTTATTCTACTGAGAAAAAAAAAACTGTTCCACATCTGAAAATTGTTGTGTCTAATTACAACTATTTTCCTCATATGGTTTGAGAGGGAGCTCATCTGCAGTGAAAGTGTTCCTGTAAATTATTCACTGAGTTGGTCCAGAAAGGTGCGTGAAGGTCAAGCCCTACATTATTTTTCTTTATACGGAGTTCTGTAGGGAAACGTTGGGACATTTATAGCCCTGTCCTGATCTATATTCACACTTGGAAACAGAGTGATTTGACCCAGTTTGAAAATTGCTCAGCGCAAACTGCTTACTGTTTTAAAAGCAGTTCTGCAATCAAACACGCTTCGCTGCCTTTTGTGCTGCTTCACACTCGACACAGAAAATCAAAAGAAAACTAGAGAAATTGCATTTCCTGCAATATGCAATTAGTGAAAAACAGCTGAAATTAGCTAAAAGTATGCTGAAATATAGCTGAATTGAAGAACAACCCTAAGTTAGCAGAAGAAAGCAGAAAGAACACATAATTCCTGCTAGGATTAAATTAGCAGAAATGAGCACAAAAAATAGAAAATTTGCTTAAAAAAAGCTTAAATTAGCAAAAAGTAGCTAAAAACTAGCTGAAAAGGCATAAAGAATCTTTAACTACCAGAAATGGCAAGAGCTGAAAAGAGCTAAAAAATGTGGAATTAGCTGAAAAAGCTAAAATTTGCATAAAAACAGTTAAATAGTATAGCTGAAATAGCAGAAAATGCTAAAACTAGCAGAAAAACACTGCAATAAGCCTAATAACCTGAAATAACTAACATCCACACCTCCCTTCACACCCATTCGCCTCTGGGCCCCTGAGCAAGGCCCTTAACCCCCACCATCTGCTCCCTAAACAGGTCTCTCTTGAAAATGAGTTCTCGTGGCTCAATGAGACTACCTGTATAATTAAAGGGTAAACGAAAAAATTAGCATAAAAAAGTTAATTAGGCTGAAAGAAGCAGGAATTATCACAAAAAAAATTGAATTTATCTGAAAACAGCTGTAAGTAATTAAAAAATGCTAAAAAGGTAGCTGAAAAGGTAGAAAAAGATTGTTTGCTGAAAAAGGCTGAAAGAACACGTTTGCTGAAAGATGCCGAAATTAGCACAAAAAGGAGGAAATTATCTGAAAAAAGCAGAAAGCAACAAAACAGCTGAAAAGCAGTTTAAAAAGCAGAAAGAAGCTTCAATTACCAGAAGGAAGTGGAGAGAGTAGATTGTAGCAGAATTGTGCAAAAAAAAAAAAAAATGTTGAAATGAGTGCAAAAATATGTGGAATTAGCTGAAAAAGCTAAAATAGCATCAACAGCTAAATAGTAGCTAAAATAAACAAAACCTTGCATAAATAAGCTGAAATTAGCTGAAAGAAGTTAGAAGAAGCACACAAATGTTGCAGTTAGCAGAAAGAAGCTGAAAGGAGCACAAAACAGCTGAAACAACAGGTGAAATTAGCAGAAAGTAGCTGAAAAAAAGTTAAAATTTGCACACGGAGGCTGAAAGAAGCTGAACCGGAGAGAAATGTGAAAGGAACAGTAAAAGGCTGTAAACAGATCTAAAGATCTGAAGGATGTAAAATTAGCTCAATTCATTTTCTAGGAGAAAAAATGGCAGGAAATGCTAAATATTTCAAAAAGCTAAGGTTGCACCAAAACCAAGTCACAGCAGGATTGTCCCGAAAGAGCTGAACATTTTGATATATGATTTGTTGAAATACCTTGAAAACTGCAGGAGGAGAAATGCATCAACAAACGTACGGAATAAAAAGGCATCACAATAGAGTGAATGCTTATTACACTTTTATAAAATAGAACAAGCAAGGATAAAAGGCTTATATCATAAGATAACACCACAAAGAAACCTTGTCGTTACCCTGATTTTCTTATTTTCGCTATTTGTGGACTTTTACTCTGCAGACATATTCAGTTCTATTTAATTTATTTTTAACGACCCTATAATTATAAGCATTAGATATGGTGTGTGGCATCGCAAGGCAATGAACATATAAATTTTATGATAACATAAATAAGGTGGGACAGCTGAATGCCTTGGGGAGATGATTGTCTTTGATGAAACTCTAAATTTTGTTTTATGATTCTTCTAATAACGCACACAGGATTATTTTTGCATCTTCTGACTTTATTTCTTATTCTGCCTTTCAAGCACATTTTTCTGCTGAGATCTTCTTTAACCTGCCTCATATCTCTGTGCATGCCCTAGAATATTATAAAAACATTAAATTCACTAATAAAAGCTTGAATAAGTTATAAAATTAACTCTTGAACTCAATCCAGCAGAAACATCTCACAATAGGACAAAGATTATGAAGGAAAATTTAAAAACTGTTCACGCTTTCCTCTCTTTGTTAGTTTTTCATTATACAAAGAAATCACAGCCCAGGTGGCTGTAACACAACAACACTAAAGGATCTGAAAAGCAGAAATCACTGTTAATCAATCTCTTGGGCTTCAAGGCAGGTGCACAATTTTCCTGGATGCTAATGCAGTTGATGCCAGAGTCGGTGCATTTAACCTCGACTCAGATTTTATTAGAATAAATAGAAACGAGACGCGAAGCAAACAACAATTCTGATTTATCCAGTACTGAAAAGAAATAACCAATTTGTTAAATGTTCTAAACATAAACCTGCAGTCAGAACCTGATGAACGCTGAAGTATTCCTTATTTGTTTATTTAATTCATTCAACCTTTATTTATACAGGCTAGCCTCATTGAGCCACGGGGACTCATTTGCAAGAGGGACCTGTTAGACAGAACATATAAAGTACAGACAACAAAACAATAAACAATGACAACAATAAACTACCGTAAAACAGGGTGAAATACTAAAAACAAGAACATACTTGCTTTAATTTTTTTCTATTGACATTATCAAATGTTTGAAACCCCTTAAAGAAATGAAGGTGGGAACATTTCATTTCCTGTTGCAAGTTGTTCCAGGTTGCAGGAGCTGAGTAGGAAAAGGCCTTTTTGCCAAGTTCAGTACTGAGGGAACGCTGCAGGTAATAATGTCCTGAGAGCGCATGTTGTAACTGCACTGACAGCATGACATGTGGGAAGAGATATAAGAAGGCAACAGACCAAGGAGGGACTTATAGATAAAAATGAATCAGTGTGAGAGCCTACGTGTAGATAATGAAGACCAACTGACCAGTGAGTACAGGGTGCAGTGATGGGTATGACAGTTACAACCAGTTATAAATCTTAGCGCACTATGGCAGACAGCATCCAACATCTGTAAGAAGCTGGAAGGAGCATTCATATAAACAATGTCAGCATGGTCAATGGTCGGTAGGAAAGTAGTGGTTACAAGGCATTTTCTGACATTCAGAGTTAAGCAAGATCTATTTCTGAAAAAGAAACCCAGTTTTAATTTCAGTTTCTTTATCAAGTTTTCAATATGTGGTTTAAAAGAGATGTGCATCGACCAAAATGCCCAAGTATTTGTAAGAATCTACAAACTCAATGGGAACCCCATGCATGGATGAGATGGGAGGAGGAGTTGCTGGCACCGACTTTCTGTTGGAAAACAGCATCCCTTTGGTTTTGTCACCATTTAGCACCAACTTGAGGTGAAATAAGTCTGACTGGATGATGTCAAATGCAAACTGTAGAAGCTGGAAAACCTTGGCAACTGTGTCGCTTGTGTTGTGACTTGTCGCTTACAAGTGTTTGCTCTGCAGTGGAAATAGTATATTTGTGTTGGATTTAACGTTTGATTTTTAACACCCACAGCATTTTAAGGATATGCAGCCTATGAGAGATTACCGTATGCCAGTTGTGTTTACACACTCCCTATTATGCACTTCTTAACAAAGAAGAGCAATTATAAAGACTTTGAATGTGCGAACAAATTATGTTTAGTCTTTTCTGGTTTTTCCACTTTGGACAAACCTTGTAAAGCAATTTAATTATTTATTATTGCTCCTTAATTTATCTAAAAGTGAAAGACTGAAGAAATTAGAAATGCGTAAAGACCATCAACTTTCCATATCTGTTTTGATGTTTTCTAAGAAGAAAATAAAATACATCAGTTGAAGGTTTGATAGTGGGGAATATTCAATGTTTCTTTTTTCAACAGTTTTAATACATATTATCTTAAATATTTACTCAAAACTCTGAGTAAAGACAACAAGATATTATGAAAAAGGAAATTAATTAGGGGTTTGCACTGATCTGTATAGTCAATAGTGAGAGTAAAATAATAATCAGAATCAGAATAAACTTTATTGGCATTGCACCAAGATACAACGAGAACGTTTTTTTTTTTTTTTTTTAACGTACAGTCGTCCGAAAGATGGTCGGAGTGCACGAAGCTGCTACTATAAAAAGCGCGGCCCTCATTATTCTTATTCAAAATAATATTTTGCTTAGATGAGAAAAGGGAAGAAAACATGAGGAGAGACGGTATAAAAAAAGATCTCTCACGCCGTGTCCTAGACAGGGCACGATTTGTGGCATTAAAAAAAACCTACTTCAGCAAAGAAACATAAATAGACATTATACAAGTACATATAGGCCGGTGAAAACATTGAATTTTTAAGGGAAAGTCGTAGCATAGTCCAGAGCCCCCCTCTTAGCCATTGTCCAGATAAGAGGTGTCATTCATCACCAGCTCGGTTGAGGCTCTGTCACATGTCCACGGCCTTGGGGAAGGGAGGGGTGATGAGACAGACAAAGCATCTTTGTTGTTTTCACAACATGCCAGGAGAAGTTGAGATAAGTCCACCTCAAGGGCACAGTTGGGTCAGGCAGAACTCATGAATTGCTGTTTCTGCCTTTTTAAAGTCTTGCTGGTATATTCCTCTGATGGAAACTCCAAAACAGCCGAATTGATCCTTTACGCCAAACGTCGAGCTCACAGCTTTCTCCAAGATTATTCCCACCGTTCATGGGTGCTGCCAGAAAGTTCACAGTCCTGATAACAGCTGCTCCAGCTCCCTGCTGCAGCTCCCCAAATTCAGTCTGAGCGCTGACGAGTTTCGACACATCAACACAAATTTATAGACAATCCAGAATTCACCAGCCAAACAGCAAAAAGACCAGTTGTCATCATGAATCCAATTTGTTTCCGTTGAGGTAAGAGGGTCCTCCTTATCCTGACTCCTGTCGGGAGAAGTTGATCAATTTTGTTGAGAGACCAGCTGATCCTTCGAACTAAGAGGTATGCAGGAAAAGAAAAAAGAAAAAAAGAGGCTTTTTAAGGGTTCACAAGACAAAAGAGTGCGGCAGGGAAGCGGGTGGGGGGGAGACATGTCTGGTTTCACTGGAGGACAGAGAGAAAAAAATTGCATTTTGTGTGGATGATGAATCAGAATTTGCACAATTGTTTTCCTCTTTATAGTTTTTTTATTCTTTTTATTTGCAGCCTAAATACTTCCACATACGTTGTCATATTTTAGACATTCATAAATCAGAATGGCTCGATTGGTAACAACGTGACATGACCTTCGGATTTGGTAACTTTTTACTTTTCAAAATACTTTATGTACTTTATCCATCCATCCATCCATCCATCCATCCATCCATCCATCCATCCATCCATCCATCCATCCATCCAT